ACACAACACACACAACACACACACACACACACCACACACACCACACACACAACACACACACACACACACAACACCACACAACACCGCGGGACCCGTCCTCGCGTAAACACACCTCTATGCCCCAACAACAAAATCGTAGACCACGATCGAGATCCACTCTATCTAAATTCTTCGAGCAAAGTTGGGTTATTTCCTCTCCCTCTCAGGGAGGAACAGCCTGACTTCCGACTCTATTGTAGTGAGTCCCTCCATTCCTGAGCGAGCTCAACTAATGCCATATAACATTTGAATCAGATTCAATGAAGAGTCACCCAGAGTTTTGCCCAAACCAGATTGTTATAAAGTAGATAAATTATATCACAAGTTTTAATCAATTTTCCAGAAAGGTATAAGTCATTTTTTAATTTTGTGTCACAAACTTTCCTCACTAATCATTTATACGATTTATTTTTCTTTCTTACGGTCTGATCCATTCTATTTTCGGATCCTATCTCCTCATATAGTTACTTACACAATAACACAACCACTCGTATAAGATAACCAAAAACTCATAATCTAATGCAAAGAAAAGTATACCTCACAGAAACTCCTCGACATAGGAACTTTAGAGAGAAATTAACACGTGGTTCTAACTACGGAAATTTTGAAGTTATAATTTCTGTGTGTATTAAATGGCCCCCACGTACGGGGGCCTGGGGGATATTCCACACTCCAGTAAGTGTTATTTTTGCCCAAGTACCAGCTATATCAAAGTCGTGAGTAAATAGCTGTGGGTGATGTGTGTAAAGAAGAACTAATCCCAATTGTGGTATCAGGAGATTATCATATAGAATAACACCTCAACACACACACACACACACACACACACACACACACACACACACACACACACACACACACACACACACACACACACACACACACACACACACACACACACACACTCCTCCGTGACGATGACCACTTGCGTAAAAAAAAAAAATAGTGGGGTGGACAAATTACGCCCATGCGTGTATCCATCGGGTGTCAATTTCGGGACAGTGTGACAGGGGCTTAATACTCTGCCCTGCCATAGTCAACCCTCTTTAGGCAACCCTTTTTAAACTCACTTAAAACAGTTGTCAACATAAGTCAAATGTGATGAGACGATGCATTTTAATCATGTGATCCTACAGCTCTAATCTAAGTGTTAATGGTCATATCTGAAAACCCTGGTCCTTACCCTCTCCTCACTGTTGTCCACGACTTGAGTCAACAAGGGGCTTTTTTGATAAATATTTACACATTTAAATCTCTCTGTCACATGCTCATTATGAAGCATCACGCAATACAGTAAATGCATTGAAAGACACACACCCAAACTACACTTTGAAGAAAGGCAGTATGAAACATTTCCCTTTGGTTACAGGAATCAAAAGATTTGGGCAATGCTCTCCGTTAAAACTCTCCTAAAAAGGATAATTTAACTTCCTAATGCATTGTCTCTTACTTGACTTTTACTCATAATAACTGCTTATGTTCAGGGCTACTCAGTAAACAGCAAAGGGAAATATAAGTTATCCTTTAAGATTAAGAATCACACGGGGAAATAAACATTTTTAAGGAGTTCACCAATGACTTAACATTTAGGAAAGTTATACAGGTCTATAAATGTGTTTTTAAATATTCTTTCCATGTATTTTCCATCTCACAAACAAAGCTGTTTTGTTCACACTGAAGAAAATGTGTGCAAATACCAAGAGTATAATCCTCATTTTGACATCATGACAGTCGTAAGAAAAAATAAATAGATACAAATTAAAAAAAAAAGTACATTAAATCAATTACTACACATACAGTAACAGCTCCAGCTCCACGAGCTGCAACAAGTTAAAAAACCCTCCCTTTGTGTACATGAAGGGACGGTCAGATTTCATTTCCTCCTCCAGAAGAAGAAGAATTAAAGATTGCCAGAGTTCCCTTTATCCAAAGTTCAGTGAGCGCTGGGTCTCCCTTTTTGCAGAAAGAGAGGAGTGAGCAGTTCTTAGCAGCTGATAGAACATATGGTGGTGATCAAACTAAATGTGAGCTTGTAAACACGCACAAGCTTTTAGTAGCCTGTAAACTGGGACTATCATCTCTCTTAACGCTTCTTAAAAACCTATCCGAGTTGGGGTTGGTCCTGAAACAGACAGGTTGAAGAAACACTGAAGGAAAGGATGACATGTTTTAAGAAACAGTAAACACCTTTTGAACCTGCCACTCCTCAATGAAGACTAATTGTACAACTTAACTGAACCAGGTCAGACTTGTACTTCTATTTTTTTATAAAGAAAGTTCACTACTTAGAACAAAGTGGCATTGGTCCTTTTTGGTCATTTTAAATATATCTAATAAACAAATGCAAAAGCAAATTGTTAAATGTGTTCGGACCTGTCTTTATCCCTTTAGAGAGCTTTTCCAAAATCAGAGTGGATTGTTACTCTTGGCTTATTTTCTATTAGCCCGGTTCGGTTTCACGTGCCAAATATAAAATGATTTGCCTTTAGTATCATTAAAACGTATTAAAAGTTGGCTTGTGAAACACCCTTAAGTTTACCTACGGACGAAATAAAAATACTTTTGAGCAATCCAGTGTTGATCAAGAAAAAATTATCCTTTTGTTCAGATTTAAAGATCCCATGTCATGCTTGTCTGGGTTCCGCTGTGTCTCGCTGTCTCGCAGACGGCCACTGGGCTCACAAGGAGGGGGGGGGGGGGGGGGCAGGAGCTCCAACAAGCCATGTAGGACAGAGAGTGAATATACTATACAGAGATGCTGTATGAGAAACCAATGTGAGTTCTAAAAATTGCACAGTATAAATCTATTTTAGTAGACCTCAACAATGGAATTATGATCAGTAGAAATGGCCATGACATGGGACCTTTAAGCCAAAGATCTGTAAGAAACTGACCTGTTACATGCCCATGCTGGCATTCAATTCATAGATTCAAAGATGTACACTGGAGTTTGATCAAATAAAATAAAATAAATAAACAGGTGGTCAAACACTGCATGTAAATCAAACATAATATTACAGTAAATAACCATCTTAAACTGGAAATATGAAGAGTGACATCTGAAGCGAATGAAACTGGCACACATGGCAGGTGAACAATCAACCTGCTGGAAAAGTAACTCTGGCATAAACAGTCAGTTATGGAAAAGAAGATCCAATAAGTGTTCACACACACACACACACACAACAGGTTTAGAAACATGTAGTGAGACAGAGTGTGTGTACCGAAGAGAGGAAGGGTTTGTTGTTACCAGCTGTGTGTGCTCACCACCTTCTCTTTATCAATTAGGAACATCAGAAGGGGGAAATCAACAGGAAGTTCAGACAGTCTGGCTGCTGGTATACAGAGAGAGTGGCACCCCCTGGATGTGGAACACACGAAACCCTAAGCTGGAGCTGGACACATTTCCCAGAATGCCTTGTGCTGTACAACAGTCCTTTCTAAAGATGAAGGCAGGATCATACATTTTGTTCATCAGCGAATGAGTAGCTGGCTGAATCGTTTGTTCTCTTCTCCTGCAGATTGTGATGACGCCCCCCCTCCCCTCGTCCCCTCGTCACCACCCTCCTCACTAACTCGGTGCTTTTTCCTCATGACGGATTGCAAAATAAAGCAGCTCCTGTTACATTGGCCAAGGAAAGCGAAATCAAACATATTGAAGCACTTTAAAATGTCTCTACAAAAGGTTGCAAGCAAACATGCAGAATGCAGCCCATACATACATAAACACAAATAAGTATATAACTATCTATTTATATATATATGATATATTTATATCTATATATAAACTCTGCCGTGTGAAAATTATAGAATAGCAGTGTTGCTACCTCACATAATAGCCATTATGTGAATATCCAAGCCTGTTGCCCAGGTGTGTGTGTGTGGCCGCCGCTCTCAGCTCGTGTGTGTAGAATGTGTGTTTTTTGCATTACATCTAAGTCATCGACTCTGCTACATTTCCATACTTTATATTGTATACTATTTCACCTACGACTTATAGTTATCATAACAACATTACAATTGCTTTGGTTTTTAAAAAATAAAGTGTTTTTTCCCTTAGTTTGGCATAGAGAGTTTAGAAACTGGCTTTGGGATGGGCCTGGGATGAAATCTGGGAATGCAGAATTGCTGAGTCATGGTAGGAAAGGTTGAAAATGGGAACGGTGGGAAATGCTACATGTTCTGGTAAATTAAGTCTACTTCAAGTTAGATTCGCTCAACTAAAATACTGATCAGTGTGTGTGTGAATATGGACGTACTGAAGGATATGGCGATCAGATATTTGCACCTATATGTGTGTTCCTGCACAGATGCACATGGGTATATATGTATATGTGTGTGTGTGTGCGCGTGTGCGTGTGCGTGTGTGTGTGTGTCTACCTGTCTTGCACTTGGAATACAGTCATTGTGTATTTACAGTATGTGTGTCCGTGTTTGTATGACTCTGTGCCCGTGCATGTGGGGTTCTGCTGGGGGTCTGCTGGGGGTCTAGGTGCACGAGGGGCTGGTGGCGCTCTCCAGGCTGGACTGAGAGAGGCGTCTGGTGAGCGGTCCGATGCTGGGGTCTGCCAGAGAGGAGGTAGGGAACAGCTTGTACCAGCCGCTGACCGTGGCAGACAGGTCCAGGTCCTCCAGAAGGATCTGGGCCATTCCCATGAAGCACTTGTGGTCCATACGCCCGTAATCCCCCCACACGATTACCTAGAGGAGAGGTGAGAATAAGTTATACATATACTAAGATTTCAGTCTCCCACAAGAAGGAGAAGACTGCGCCTCAACTACGACTACACATCTTTCTTAGTGATAAATGCTTAATAACTCATTTTTTCTGAACATACCACATACAGTATACGTGTCATTTGAAACCCACACTTAAATCAACCATTTTAAGGGAGAAATATACATATTTTACGAGGAAAATGGCAAATCCTTCAAATGGTTCATTTTACAGTAAAAAGAGCTAAAACTGTCAGTTGAATGTTTCCCAGATCTATACAAAAATAAGTTGATACGGGATATTGAATACTCAGTGGCGCCGGAAGATTTTTAAACAAGTTAGAAAAACACATTGAGAAACCAATCTTTTTCCAAAAAGATGTACTCGTGATAAAAAAGTAGAAAAGAAAAGAACTGTAAGGAAATAAAAGGAATCACATACTTGTAGGACTTTGCCCTGAGGACTCTCATCAAACAACAGAGCCTGCTGGTAGGTGGGGTCCAGATTCTTCTTCACTACTTTGGTTTTCTTTTTGGCCAAGCACATGCCGTTCTCCAGCAGATACACCTTCACGTAGGTAGCTGCAGCAGAGAAACACAACACATGGAAACTCCCACATGAACACAGCTCGGAAGTAGGAGTGAGTCAATAGATTTGAATGCAGGGGGTGAGGTGAGTACCTGGTGTGTTCTTGGAGCCCGACTTAGGGGTCAACCTTCTGGCCTGGTTGACCTCCACCTCCAGCTGCCCTCCTCTGTCCACCATGCCTACATGGACATCCCCTGTGGAGGGAAAAACACCATCAATAACAACCCAATAGAAACTTGGGTAACACTTTATATTAAGGTACACTTATTCACCATCAACTAGTTGTTAATTAACATATTAGAGACAAACTACATATTCTGAGTTAGAAACACCACGTTTTTTTGTTATTTTGACACAAGTAACACTTGTAGTTTCATTTCTTGTTACATAAGAATAGATCATATTTGTTTGGTCTTATTATGGGAGAATTCATATTCTTGTGGTACTGCTGCCTTATTAGGCCCATATTGAGCAGAGCATATTACAGGGTATATGCAGGAATCCTGAAGTCAAATGTAAAACCTTTTAAGACCTTTTTTAAGACCCTTTCCATACATTTTAAGACCTCATCGCCACTTCGAGTTCTAACCGGTTACCTTGGCGACACACTTTACCTCACATTGACTATATACAGTATTGATTGTCCTTCCTCTTTATCTTCCAACCATTTGGACGCAGACTTGCATTTCCCCCATAACGATGTTGTTTAACAACCGGCGTAAAAGGGCCTTCGCGCACTATCAAGCAGTGAGTGTGCGATGTCCTGTTCAGATGACGTCCAATCCAACGGGATGCCATAAATAAAGTACACAGAATCACACTACACACCTACGCAATGATTACATTCAGGCAGACTGTAGAATACAACCTCTTTGGACCATTTATATACTTATTGAAAACAAGCTACAAAATATAATACCTTGGAAAATGCCGTTTAATACTTTTTAATAGCCTTAACTTTCGCTAACTTTTAATACTTTTTAAGACCCCGCGGTACAACATCTTCCTTACTTACAGTAAAAGAGCACTTATTAGAGGGTTATTGAGGAAAAACTCTTAACTAATGGCCTAGTACTGGGAGAATATGGTCATGTAGAATAAAGCATTAATAAGTATTTTATAATGACTAATAAAGAGCCAATATACTGCTAATATGCATGTTAATTAACAACTAAATGATGGTGAATATGCGTACCTTAATATGAAGTGTTACCGAAACTTGTATAATCAGAACCAGAACATAATCTCACTAAGGTTGCAATGGCCATAATGTAACTGCAGAGGGCGTCACAGAGCTGTGAACGCGCCTGAACAGCCAGGTATGAGCACAGAACTGTTGTGTTGATTCTGATCTTTTGCATGAAAGATTCATACCTCATGCAAGAATGACTTCCTCCATGCTGAATACACTAGTATTGTGCAGTACTTTTAGACGCTGCTGTGCATTTAACAGTTAGTATGCTGGTGTCGGGCGGGAGATATTTTTATCTGATTCTCCGCCGTAGTAGAGTCCAACATAAATGTACTCTTGTCCCACAACTTTATTAACCTATAACTGTCTAATTTCCATTGGTTAAAAGAATGAATCCCAGTGTAAAGAATCTCATGAGATCTCAGAAAGAATCAAATTATACTAGATGAGAATGAGACACCGTTATCAATCTTTCTTGTCTTACCCATGGGGGGTGTAGCTAACGTCTGCCGGCCTACGATCTGAGCGGGGCCGAGTCCATCCAGGAAGTCACTGAACTGGCTCTCAGGGCCCAGGCGTGTTGTAGGGAAGACAAACCTGAGAGAGAACAAAGAGTTATGATGAATATATGTATGCCGTGTGTGCCATGAGGAGTTGCCGGGTAAGGCCAGTTTATTTATATAGCACCTTTCAACACAAGGCAATTCAAAGTGCCTTGCAACAATGAAAGACATTAAGAGCATTAAGAAACATATTATAAAACGGCATTTAAAAATACTCAGTTAAAAGCAAAAATAATAGCTCTGACTCTCAATCATTGCTAACTTTTTAGCAGAAATTGTTTTCTTTGACCTGACTTTCTTTCTACTTTCTTTGTTAACTTATCCTTTTGTTATTTCAAGTGATTCATGCTAAGCGAACCCCCCTTTTGAACATTCTAATCTGCAACCCAATATTTCCGAAAATTCAACGCATCCTGGCCGTGTTTGTGTAGCATATCAAATTAATTTGCTCCCAGACATTCATGTGGCTTGCTAGTTTTGGACCCCATCTGTAACCCCAAGGGTAGATACTCACGTTCCATCGGAGCTGTTGGAGTTGGTGCTGCCGTCGGTCGAATCCTTGCTTCCTTGCCGCGTCACTCGGTTCCTCATCTCCACGGCGATGCCGGTCTCCGTGCTCCGTCGGATGGTGCTGCGAAGCTTCTTCGTCCCACCTTCTGCAAAGAGTTCATAGATCCAAATAAGTTTCCTTTATTCAGTGTGATAATACTCTTAGCGTTATAATCAGATGAAGTCGTGGAGCAGTCTGATAAGTAAGACAGGTATTAAACAGGATCAGTGTGGCCTTACCATTAAAGGTCACCTATTATGCAAAATCCATTTTTTCATGAATGTTATCAACATGTGTCATCTCTGCGTTAAGAGATTCTGAAAGTTTCAGGAAAAAAGATTCTCTCTCTTTTTGTCCTGATCCATTTATATAAAAACCTGCCGGAAAATGAGCTGATCAGATTTTAGCCACTTTATGATGTCATAACGATTTTTTGGCTTGTGTAACCATTAGCC